ATTGGGAGATGAGAGCTCCGAGCGAGTGGTCGACAAGTTGCCAAAATTGGCAAGGCTTAAATGGACAAAGCAACAACTTGGCTTTGAGATAGAGATGGCTGGCCAACTTGGACTTGGTTAGTTATTTCCTATCCGCCTTTGTCTCGATTTACGCGAGTGTGGGCCGTCTTTGGATGGGATTTTGGTTTGGATGGGTCGGTCAGTGGTCAGAAGACTGGCTTTCGTATTACGCATACGACACGCTGGCCAAGCGAGAGAACTTCCATATAGGGAACGCAACTGTGCGATTTCTTTTCTGATTCAAATTCGGCTGAATAAGTAGACTGTAAAGTCTGGGCCCAGCCCACTACTCCTTCCTGTTTGACAAAAAAAAAACCCTAAAATTTATTATTATTATTTACAACTTACATACGTCCTCCTTCCGCTCGGTTCTCAGAATTTAAATGAACTGATTTACGGCGATTTGATGAGCTCTTTAGTTATTTATGCTCCGGCTGCTTAACAGCTATTACATATTTAAGTTTTATGGCTGCTGGTACTGAGCTACCAAAGCACTCGAATTCTTATGTTTTTTTTCAATATTCAACTCTTTTGTTGCCCCGGCTGTGGCTGTAGCTGTGATGTGAGTACACTCTGGGTACTTTATTATTAATTTTAAACGTGGGCCCACAACAACACGAACACCCACAGCATTTGTCAAGTTGCTTGGATTCTTTTCGTTTGCTTTTTTTTTGTTCTTAGCTGCTGGCTGGCTGGCTTGGTGGCTTGCTGGCCGCATTTGTTATTACTTTTTGTGGTTTTGTTAGTTTGCTGGCTTGTTTGGTGTTCTGAGCTGTATTCTTTGAGATTAAGACTTGCAATTTGAACATTTCAGCACGTCGAAGTCGGCGCCTGCTTCTAATTGCAAACGCAAATTACTCATACGTCGTGTTGTGCTCGCATAATTATCGCTTATTTCCACATCAAATCATTCGGCTGTTTGTTGCGTGGGCAGCTTGTCTTTGGATTTCGATATGGCTCCTAAGAAACACTAATAATAAATTCAAAAAAAAACTGCAAGCAGCGGCTGCGCATCCTCCCGTCAGCTGCTGAATAACAATTACTCCCGCAGTCACACATTCATTCACATTTAGCTGGTTGGCTGGTTGGCTTGCTGGCTGGCAGCTTATTTATTGTTTAGCAAATAATCTTACGCCCTGCCCCTGTCCCTGCCATGAATCGCCTTTATGCGCTCATTTGCATATTAAATAAGCGGCTGCTGTTGCTTCAGGTTGCTGCTACCACTGCCAATGCAATTGCATCGGTGTTGGCTGCAAGTGAGTGCTGTGTTGTTTTTATTTTATTTTATTTAATTTCGTTTCAGCCAGTTGCTGTTTGCAGTTGCTGTTTGGTTGGTTTCTAAGCGGCAGCAGCTGCCGTCAATGCAAAGAACCCTGGGCGATCGTAGGTTGGCCAGCGAATTACGCGAGGGAGCCGCACTTTTTATTAGTATTCTCGATTTGGCTTGTTGACGCAAAAGAATGAAACGGCAGTAATACACGGTGTACGATGGGGATGTGGTTTAGTGTGTTACCTGCCACTACCACTTAATACGCTAGAAGCGTTCTAAGATCAGAGTCTTGGAAGTAAAAGCTATAGAATCTAAGATGAAAGTGATAAGAAATGAGCTGCCATTTTGTCAGTTCATAAAAATTGTGAAATATTGGAATATGCTAGGTGGAATTTATAAAAAAAATCTTAAAGAAAGCGAGAAACCTAATGAAGAGATCATATTTATCAAGATTAAAAAATGCAAATATTTTGCTTTGTGGGTTAGTATACTTTCTGCATTAGCTAGAACCTCTTTAGCTCCGTAATGGCATTCCAATGAATATGAATTAAATAAATTGCTTTCTGTTTATCTAAAGCTTGAATCCCAGACCCTGGGCAATTAGTAACGCTCCCCGATAGTTACGATTATTAGTCACATCAGACTTCGAGCTAATGTTGAGTAATCTTGGCTTTTCTCTCGTCAGTTGGGAAGCTAATAATGCCGCGGATCGGGATGCCCTAAAAGGTGCCTGCAGCTTGGATAACAATTAGATAAATTCATTTCGGACGCATGCAAATTTCAGATTTCAGTTCCCATTCGCTGGGTTGTGAGACAAAGGAAAGGCAGCCCAGCCAGTGACTATTTCAGCGACTTTTGGCAAAACAAGTAGTGGTATTTCCTTTTTCAAAGCTCAGCTATTGACAGGCAAAGAGTTACACTTATCTTCGCTGTGTGCCAGTGCCAGTGCTAGTGGCAGTGCTGGTGTGTAAGTGTGACATTAAACCACACACAAGCAAGTCCCCCATATTTGGCAATTGACTTTGCAGCCAACAGATAGATAGATATATACATCGAGCGATCCGAGTGCGAATGAAATGTATAGGTTTTGTGTGGCTTTTTCTCCTCTTAACTGTTTGCGCTGCCCACATGCGATGGCCCGGGCCTGATAAATAATTTTAGTTTTATAAACACAAATTGACACTTCAAAGTGTTTGCCAAAAAACACAAAAGCCACACTCAGAAGGGGGCAGAGGAGCAGCCGAAATGAAATCAATTTGAATTAAGCCGCCTCGCTTTGAAAAGGTGGCGGAGATTTCCTTGGCCCCGAGGGGTGGGACCGATTCGATCCAGATTGGGGCATATCATGACCAAAAACACTTCTCGGAATCAGAATCCGAAAGGCAGGTAGCCGCCCCACTTGCTCAAATTCTGGCTGTCTGGGCTTCCATCTATAAAGTATAAAAAATGCGAATCTGATTCGTATCGGCAAAGATCTGAACACAGCTTCTAATTCCCTCGAGCAACGAAATGGAACCCGTCGGCACACGAGCAGCACATTTTTATGACTTTTGAGATTTAAAGAGCAAGGTAAGCTCACTTGGGAGCTGTCCGTGGTGGTGCCACATTATGCTCGCGCTAATTAATTGTTTATTTATCTAGCGATTACGACCGATTTTCGCAATCCATGTCGAATATGTGTATGAACAGTCAACATTGGCTAAGAAGAACTATGAAAAACTATTCAGCAACTTGTAAGGAACATATATTTTTTAAGTAGTTTCCAAGCCTACCATCAAAATATTACGTATACGCAGCACACCTAGAAACTGTCCTAACGCTATTGTGGTAAAAAATAACGGTTGCGGGCGCCACAGCCTTATCAGAACAATATGGTTCCGCGTAATTGATCTAGTTTCGAGCGATCGCTGCGATGCCGCATCGATGGAGGCGTTGGGGGCACAAAACTGCTATAAATATTATCACAGCTGACCGCTGCTAATGGGCAAACAAAACACTTAATAGTTGATAACAAAAAACGCTGCAACACGCGGGGAAAACTCACCATGGAAAATGCTTTGTGGCGCTGCTGGGGGAAACACCACCTGTGTTCCAATCCAATTTCGATAGCCGATCGGGTTCGGGAATGGTAGTATGTAGTTTGGTTTCCAGTTATCGTAATATCAAATGCACTTTGTTTCGCTTTTGTCAGTAGTTCTTGTGGCTGCCACTTTGCGGTTTGTGCTGCTGCAACTGCAACTTTTAATTAGCCATACAAATACATTAGCTAATGCACACACACAGAGACACTTCGCGGCTTTGCAACGCCCACGCAGCTCGGCGTGCCAAAAGCAAAAACGCGTTTATTGAAAATGCAGTCGCGCAGCCGCAGAACACCAAAGCAAAATAACGCTGGTTCAGAGCTGGTTCCAGCCCAGACCTGAGCCAAAAACAAAAAATTGAATCAAAATCGAATGCAAGGCAAGCTGACCGCTGCACATGCACTTTGCATTCGGAGTTCTCGACGCACAACACACACCTACACCTGCGCACCTGCTGCCGGATGCGGAAATGAACCGTTTCGTTTGGGAGATCGCGAGCGACTGTAACTGAAAACTGAAAACGAATCCAAGCGGCGCGGCAAGCTTGCGCGCTTCAGTCTTCGGTTTCTTACGAGAGAGTCTTCGCAACGGCCCCAACGATCAGACCCCAGCCAACAAGTTCGAGTTCGATGGGGGCTAAAAATATGTTTTGAACTCGTATTTCCAAACAAAATTTCAAGAACGTTTTAAAGATACTATCAAAATATTAAATTATTAGTCAGTCATTTGATTGTTATATAAGATTCTTACATCAAATTATATTTATAAACAACTTAAGCTTTTCTGCAAAAATTCTTAATTTTTTAATTGAAGCCAAGGATATTAGAAATTATATTATATTATATATTAGAAATTTATTCTTTTTATAATTTTTGTGTTCAATTCTGTATGAACTCAAAACTCAAATCACACTTTCTTGGGGAACATTTTTTTTTTAACATTTAAAATTTAAATTATGCGCCATCGTCAACAAACTATCGATTGCTTTCAGAAGCTGCAATAAAAATGGCGATGTCGGCGTTTCGCTGTGAATGCCAGCACCATTTCAGAATTCAAAATGGCAGCCCTGGAAAATATAAAATAATCGGCGCGAATTGTTTAAAAATTTTACTATTATTCGTATGATTTGTTTTTACACAAAATATGTAAAATAATCTGTTATATATTATTATCTTTTCCCTGGAAATAAGATAATTGGTGTAAATTATTCTTTAAAAAAACTTTAATGCTTTTGATAGTGAGGATTTATGGAATAGCCTTGGTACATCTAAAAGTGTACTGTTAAATTGTTATTTTTTAAACTAAAACAGGGTAAATAATTATATACACTTCCTTAACTCTTGGTGACATTGTAAAAAACGTCGTGAACTCCGCCGCAAAGTCAATCAGTATATTTTAGGTTACAAACGCCATTTATTTTTAACTCTTTAAATAGTAACCAATCACTTTAGGTTTTTGAAAGTATTTTAAGCCCAACATGCGAATTTAACTCATCGGTCAATTAGCGAATATTTTGCAATGTTAAACACCGAAATGCTCCAGATGAGATGAAAGTCTGATGGATTCACTGACAACTAAAATAAGGTTTGTTTTTAATTTTTGGGAGTGTTTTAGCAACCCCAATCGATGTTTACTTTATTTGATATGACTTAAGCCTAACTCGGATAACGTGGAACATGGTTTAACCCCAACAGTCGCTTAGAAGCGTCCCTGACCCTGGCGCGTCTCCTGGTGCGGGTGGGTGCGGATGTACTCCAGGGACTTCAGGATAGCCGCTGGGATGGGTGGGGGAGTGGGCAGGTGGGCGCCGGCGGGGTGGAAGCCAGTCGCGTCAGCCGTGTAGGTCAACTGGATGAGTTGGCCGTCGGGGGCGTAGTACGCGTTGGAACCGCTTGCGTAGTAGCCTCCCACACCCGCCTCCTGGCCGGCGATGCCATTGGAGGTCTGGTACTGGTACTGATAGCTGCCATCCTCCTTCAGGTCGCTCTTGTACTCCCTTGTCTCGGCGGCGGCGTCGAAGGCATCAGGACGAGCCTGGACACAGGCAACGGACAGAGCGGCGACGGCAAGGACGATCTGTAGTGGGGGGTAGAGGATGTTACTACTTATCCAACATCTATCAAAAGCCTGCTGGACTTACGAATTTGTTCATTTTGGGATGGTTTGGGATTGGGCTGGGCTGGGCTGGGCTGACTTGTTGTCACTGTGAACTCGCCACGAGAATGAATGTGACTGAACTGGAGCGGCGGCGCATTTATAGCATTTTGGCACGCCAATCTGCTCGGGGCTGGGGACCTGCACTGGCACTAGCACCAGCACCAGCTCCAGGGGCAGCAACAACAACGCTGCGTATAATTTGCAGCATTGAACCTGAACTGCCCCTCACAGAGACAAGATACAAGACGCACACTCGCCAAAAAATAAAACACGGCTCTTCCGTCACTCTACACTCTGTTTTATTTTTGGTGATTCCGGTCTCCGTGTGTGTGAGATAGTTTTTGGTCGTAAACTTTATGCTCCTTTTGGTTAAAAGTTTGTGGTTGGGGCTAATCAATTCCCAAGCCCCCAGAGAGGGGGGACTAATTTTTTATTAGCACCTACGCCAATTGTTCGACGGGGTATTTAGCGCAATTTATAGTTTCGCAGCCAAAAGGTTAACATCATCGAATACTTTAAAGTTACTTTTGGACTTGTGTCGGGATTGGGTTGCAGGATCATTTATAAATGTAGCGCTTAGCCCTTCTGCTTAAATCGTATGCGAAAACTTTGTAATAAATTGTTTCCAAAATCGGCAAAATCGATTAAGAACCTCACATGCTGGGTCAACGCCATTCATTTATTACAAAATCAGCCAGCCCGTCCCGGTCCGTCGCGGCGCGGCCAAAAATGAAAAAGGCGAACGTGGGGAACCTGCCTGGCATTGCTTCAGCCTCGGCATTGGCGCAGACGAACGACCTTGCCCCACCGTGTGGCATCAGCCGAAAATCCCAACATTGGCAGACTGTCCGAAAGTACGACAGTTTATCGACAGGGGAGCGGGCAAGTTTGTATTAAGTTTTGATAAGAAAACTGGTGAGGAGTCGGGACCTAGCGTGACTCACGATTAAGGCTCTTTAAAGAACTTCTTCAATCTTATGATAAATCTCAAATATTTTACAACTACTCTTGGCTTATAAAATATTTGATTTATTGATGTCATTCCCAACAGAATACTTGTTTGAAAAATCTGTTAAAAGTCTCCTCCTAAAAGGTTTTATTGGGCATATTAAAGGTGTCAGATGGCCATCGCTAGAGTGGCCAACAATAAGAGCGCATGCTGTTTCCCTTAAAAGATTTGAGTTGGCCCTTAATAAATACATGGCTAGGTTGGCAACAAGGCGGACCAGACCACGATGCGAATGAATCTCTGAGGGGGCGGGAGAAAAGTGAATGTGCTGCCAGCAACATGGATGTCGCATGGAGCAGAAGCATCAGCATCAGCAGCAGCGGCAACATCAGCATTGGCGGCATTATCTGCTTTTTGGCCTGGCCTCTGTTTTTGCTTTCTGCTTGCCTTTTTGGTGTTACTTTCGGCTTTTATGCTCCAAACCGGCTGTTCGGCAATTTGCTTCTTTTTTTCTGTTGGCCACCGTATTTGCTTTTTGCCGGCAACACAATTGTCCAGTGGCAGTCGCTTGGGCGGCTTTAAATGAAGGCAAAAGTTGTTACGATTCGATGGCTGCTGTTTCCTTAAGCCGCTTCCGCTGTACTTAACAGTCCGGGCCCACCCCTTCTGGCACACTTTGCTCCTTGCTCCTTATGGCCCCCATCCATCCATCTGCCCATCCGTCCATCTGTCCATCCATTAGGGCATCAATCCATCTTCGCGCGCATTAAGCGGAAACAAGATACAAGAAACAAGACACAAGATGCAAGAGGCAAGAGGCAGATGCTGTAAAAAATAAAAAGGGGACTTGCTGCAGACGGCTACTCCTTGGGCGCTTCTCCTCCAGCTCTTCACGCTAACCTGCTCCACATTAATTGACCCACATTCGGAGGCGACAACTCGTCCAGTCCGGTCCCAGCCAAGGTCGCCGTTTCTGCTTTAGTTTGGGCAGGGCTTTGGACCACTGAACAAAAAAATAGTGTCTCTGGCTTAGCCACTTCTTCCCCATTCCTCTAAAAAGCCCAACAAATAAGTAACAGTGTATCTGCGATTAGCATTTGAATTTTAATGGCCACTCCGGTGCTCTACATTCACTCATTCAGAGCCAATCGAGCTGTTATATTTAGCAAACTTAATTAATTAAAACATTGTCAACGCAAGCCCGGCTTGCAGCAGACGTGTTGGCCACGTTTATGGCCTGCTTATACAGTTTCATTCAGAGGGGTTACTCATCTGCGTGGTGGGTCTGGCCACCGTCTGATTCTGCGGCAGATGAAGCCCATCGGCCAGTCTAATGGCCAGAAAACAACAAAGTCCCCCAGCAGGCGTTGGCGTTGGGCGTGGAAGGTCGGCCCTTGGGGGCTTTTTCTGTGTACTACTACGTCCGAACAAAGTCAACGACTTTCGAAAATCTCTGCCGCAACGACCTTCAGCAAATAGAGACGAAATGGCCTGCTAATTGTTTGTAGTTGCAACTTTCATTTCGATTCGGTATCGGTTTGGCAATTGGCCCGGCCCGGGTAGGGGGATTTTGGCAAATTCGCACTTGTAGCTACAAATTAAATCAGTACACGGCTGGCTTTATTCCAAAAATATCGAAAAAAAAAAAAAATCAATTAATTGGTTTTCCATCATTTGATTTTTGGGCAGACGACTGCACGAATATACATATTTCTGCATATATCTGGTTGTTTTAAGGCTGGCTGATGGATTTTTAATCAAAACTTGATTCAATTTGCATGTTTCAAGTCCGTTTCCCTTTCAGCATTCGAATTCACATCTTTTGATCGTTCATTTGCCATAATATCATGGACTAATTGATTCGTGAATCGTGGGCTTTGAGCGAATAAATTCATCTAATCTTAGGCTTTACAAGTGATATTACAAGCCGCACTTTAAACACTTCCCATAGCTAATGTTTAAAGATAAGTTTTAAGGCAACACCAACATGGCCGTATTTGTGAAGAAAAATCCCCTTTGGGCAACAGTCGCCTCTGCACACCAGATGGAAATTGAATTTATTTTTGTTGCAAGCGCTTCACACAGGATGCATGTATGTATGTGTATTCTCTGTGGCAGCTTCATAAAAATATTTATTAAATTCACATTCAATTATGATAAAAATTCCTAAAGGTCCAAGGCTCTTACACAATATCGATACGCTTTAAAGAATGCGAATAAATTAATAAATATTCGAAACCATAAATTATAAACTGATGGATAAGGAAATATGTACATATATGATATAATATATAGGCCACTGCATTCGATATTCTGATCGATTAGCATCTTACCTGCTTCCGCTCGGACTTTATGGAAATTAGCAACAATTAGCTGGAGGTGGAGGTGTTCCATTTTGGCCATTTCACGCTCCGAGGAGCACCCACCCGGGCACGAGCCATGTCCGTTTAATGGTGCCACTTATCTCGATCCATAGTGATGGATTTCGTAAAGTCTTATGCATATATAGCTTGTGTGTGTGCTGCGAATGTGTAACTTGGTCGTGGATAATTAATGAATTAACACAAACACTTAATTACTCGAGAGTGCCGGCAGCAGCCGAAAAGTTTCTTGACCCTCGGGGTCGGGTCAGTGGGTATTTCGTTTCGTTTTCACTTGAAACTCTTAATGAAACTCATCCACGGTGGGGATGAGGAGGGACTGGGCCACCTGGAGCCGAGATAATTGGCGTTGCAACCGTTTCTGTGGCTCTCGGCTGTGAAATACCATATGTTGATGGTGATGATGTGATGAGTCCCAATCATCTGACCATTACCATCTAATGGCTGCTTTCCTCACTTTCGTTTGGGAGATCAATTTGGATTTTCTGGGGTATATAAGTGCCGGGTCGAGGGCACTAAGGCATCAAACACAGCTTAGCTCTTAGGGTTAATACCAGCCAATAAACCATAAGCCACATCTCCCATCTAAGCCAGGCGAAAATGTCGAAGATCGTAAGTCACAATGGAAAGGACTCTGCTCCCCAATGGATAACACCAGCCCTAATCCCATCTAATTCCAGTTTGTTGCTACCGTTGTCCTGCTCTCTCTGGCCGGCGCCTTGGAGGCTCGTCCTTCCGACTCCCCCGACGCCCATGCCGAGATCCGCAGCTTTGTCAACGAACTGAAGCAGGAGGACGGCAGCTACAATTACCAGTTCGAGACCTCCAACGGGATCGCCCAGCAGGAGCAGGGTGTAGGAGGTTACTACGCCAGCGGTTCCTCCCAGTATTACACCCCTGAGGGACAGCTCATCCAGCTGACATACACCGCGGACGAGAACGGATTCCAGCCACAGGGTGAGCACCTGCCCACCTCTCCTCCGATCCCCGAGGCCATCCTCAAGTCGCTGGAGTGGAACCGCAACCATCCGGAGGAGGAAACCGAGGAGTATGCCCATGGTCATGGACACCGTGGACACGCTGGACATGGTCTGGAGCAGGGCAAGCAGTATCTGCAGCCGGCCACTACACCTCTGCTGGCGCCTGCGCCAGCTGTGGCGGTGGCTGTGGGCGGAGCCGGACTCCCCTACGACAGGAAGCTGTAAGCCGTCCAGCAAGGATTCTGCCAGGCATCCATCCAGCTCGCCTCATGTCCTGCCTGTTTGCATAGTCGAAGCCAGTCGCCCATCCGCCCATTCTGTGTATATATAGACCCTCATACATTTACATCAACAAGCTCCAGGGCTCCTCCACAGTCCTCAATCCTGGGACCCGTGTCCCGTGTCCTGTGTCCCGTGTCCGTTGTCGGCTCGACTGACGTTGACATTTATTGCCAGAGATAATAATAATGTAATAAAAGAAAAATACAATTTAATATGGTTGTTTATACTATGAATGCCGGGGCTCAGACGCCAGCATATGGCCATGCCCGAGGCGGAAACACACGAAAAAATTTGGGTTTCAGCTTAAACGAATTTTAAACAAGACTTGTCGTTTTTTTTCTGGCACTTAAAACGAGGAAATAAATACTATGATGGGTTGTAAACAATGTGTTGGATGTATCCACCATCAAATAATATAAATATGCACATTTTGTTGAAATTTTTCTCTCTCTGCAGATTCCATCGCATCGCCCACATGCATTACCATTTCACAGTGGCT